AAATTTAGATCTTGATGCTGAGTTCATGGTCGAGGTCGAGGACGAGGACGAGGACGAGGGCGAGGGAGAGGGAGAGGGAGAGGGAGAGGGAGAGGGAGAGGGAGAGAGGGGAAGGAGGAGAGCATAGGAGGCTTCCAGTGAGGTGAGGAGAATAGGAGGCTCTGATGAATGGGAATAGGAGGTGATTAAGGTGGTTTGATACGGAGGTTGAGAGATGTGGAAGTAAAGAGCTAGAAGGTAGTGCACAGAAGAGACGAGAGCAGTGCAGTGGAGCAGACGGTGAGTAGAACATAGTTGTGAGATGGAAAGAAAGGCACATCGAGTTGTACGATGGTGAAGTGAGGGCTGTGGTGTGCATGCCATGTAGAGAAAGATGGAGTTGTTGTAGGATCTGTTAGCTTGACTCACTGCTTTCAGATGGCCCTTCATGGTAGAGGAGAGTAACTAGCACTTGATTCAAGTCCTGCTAAACCTGCCTTCGTTGTGATGTCGGAGCGAACTGCCGAGACCTCGCAGAGGCTGGGACACGGCGCCCAGCATGCGGCGATTCTACTGCAGAAGGAGAATCTCAAGATGAAGTACGAGAACAACGAGCAGGAGCAGAGGATTACACGGCTGACAACACAGGCGAAGAAGCTTGAAGAAGAGATCAAAGTGAAGGAAAAGAAGCAAGGAGCCGCGCCTCGAGTCGGGAAGGGCGACAGAAAGAGTGTGATGGCTGAGCTGGAGGAGAAGATCCGAGCTGTGGAGAAGAAGAATGAGGGGATGAAACGCACGATTCTCCTCACTCTTCATTCCTCCGACGGCGGGAGGGCGGGAGGGAGGGGGAGCAGGGGGGAGAGAGGCAGCCCGTCTGTGCGGTTCGACTCGAAGCCCTCGCTGTTGGATGGAGTGAGTGATGAGGAGCAGAGGAAGGTGATTGATACTCTCAGGGTGGAGCTCGAACACTGCACACAGAGGTTGCATGCGATCCGAAGCAGCTTGTCAGGTTCCTCCACCGCTGCAATGATGAAAGAGAAAGAGAACTTGGTTTCTTCCCTAGAGGAAGTGAAGCAGAAGGGAAAGGAGGTAGCGGCCAAGGTCACGATCCTAGAGAGCAGGCAGGAGAGAACGATCGCGGCGTTCAAGGATGAGCAGGATAAGCACGACAAGATGGTGGAGGAGCTGGAGGAGCTAAAGTCACAGCTGCGGGAGCAGCAGGATGCTGTGCAGCTCCTATGGCGCGAGAAGAATCTCTTGGAACTGCAGGTGTCAGATGCCGGAGCGATGGAGAAGGGGCTGGAGGAAGTGAGGAGGGAGGTGGCGAAGCTGGAGGAGGAGAATGAGCAGCTGCGATCGAGAGCGTTCAACGCAGGATCGGTCAAGGTGACGGTCAGGATGAAGGCCGGGACATTCCGTGCCCTGTCGGAGGAGAATGCGAGGCTGAAGCAGCAG